GCTAGACCGGCGGTGGGGGCGGTACTGGGGAGGGTGGTGCGGCAGAAGGCGACCCAGCCGGTGATACGCGAGGTGGCTAGAGGAGGAAGATGGGTGGGAGATTGAAGAAGACGTCTTGGCTGTTGATTTTGCATCCGACGGTCCATAATGATTAACTAACCCAAACCTAGTTTTCAGTCGATTGATTGCTAGCCACGCCCTTTCTCTACATATAATGTTCCCCTGAACGGGTGGATGAAATCATCTGGACTAGATTTTTTAGTTATATATATACTAGCCACCACGAATTTGTGTCATCCAAATTTCTGCTAATTTTCGAGTCATGCAACTAGAGACTAGTACGGATAATACATTACCCGAGCACACGTGACATGTTTGTAGTGTTGCCAACGATCGAGATCGCCATGGCAATGTCATGGCCCCTTTGAGAAGGAGGCGAACGATAGGGATTTCTGTGCATAGTTTCCTCGTGCTCCTGTTACACGCGTGAAGCCGTGAAGTGACGCGCTCTTCTCTGGTTGTGTGATTGAATCGTCGGCTTTTCGGTTGGAAGTAAACTGTTGTTATCACGTTAATCGATCAATCAATTGCACTATTATGATAAAAAGAAGATAAACCGAGCGTGTCTACTTGAGGCTGGTTGGACGGGCTGCTGGCATGTGAACTTGGCGCCTATCTGCGACCGATGGAGCGCGACGGCGATGGACGTGCATGTGCTCCTACCGCGCTGCCTCACACGCACACGTAGCTGAAATTCGGTCGCAGTCGGCGAAAGTACGAAAAGGACTTGACGCTCACTGCAGGCCAGGGGCTGGAAAATGAAATGCCATGATGTATGCATCATGCATAATAAGTAGGAGTAGCAATTTTTCTGCTTGGTTGGAAAATATACTTTGTTTTTTGAGGATCGGTTGGATGATATACTAGAGGGTAGACATGAATTCTTTTCTTTTCCTTTTCTGCGGGGAGGGTAGACATGAATTCGTTAAAACGAAGTTTCTTCTTCTTCTTCTTCTTCATCTTTCAGTTTTGTTTGGGGGTGAAAAACAGCTATATTTTCCCCTTGTTGAGAAAAGTTTCATATGCGAAATGGGCGTAATTCGAGTACCTAACTACAGAATTATTGTTAAGCACTGGTTACAAGCTTATATAAGAAAAAGAAAAACCATTGTCTTTTCAGTTCATGCACGGCTGTGTCAATGAAATCCTCGTGGTAGATAAAGGGTTACCTTTACAAAAAGCGCCAAACATACAACTATCAAACCAGTATTAAGCACGTGCCGTTTTGCGTCAAAAAAACCGTGTAAATATGCCACGCGCTCTCCTCGCTTTCGCCACAGGAACATGCAACAGGCATGCATTGTTCACACAGCAGAATACTAATTTCCTTCCCTTTCCTATGTTTCAAAAAAAAATTCATTCCCTTTCCTAAAAAAAACCAAATGCTTCATCGTGCAGCTGCACGATCTGGCGATCGCAAGCGCGTGCGTCAGAGCCGTCCGATGCGGCCGATCACGCGCGATCGCAACGGACTGTGCCGCAGTGTCACGACACAAGTGGAGACACAGAGGGAGGCCGGGCAGGCGGTGTAGCGGTGGGCCCAACGTCCTTAATTTCCAGGCAAAACCGCCCCGCACGCCCTGCTCGCCTTGTTCGAACTCCTCCTCCCTCCTCCATTTTTGAAGCCCTCCCCTCCTCCTCCGCTCATCTCTCGCGACGACGACCTACGCGGGGATGCGGTCGTGTGTTCGCTGAGGATTCGCCAGCGCAGGAGGGCGTCCGCGGGTGCTGTCGGGGATGTTCCCGGGACATGAGACCCGGCAAACATCCCGGAGGGCTCTATGGATCAACTCATTTTCGGGTCACGACGGAGGTGATGAAGCCCAATGTAAGACCCAGCTAAAGGCCAGCTCTTAGAAGAATCTGGTGGGTCGACTTTGAAGAAGGCTTAGGAAGAGGAGGTTTTCCTAACTAGGGAGACCAGATCAGTGGCGGAGACAAGCCTAGGGCAGTTGGGGCTATAGCCCTAGGCTTAGTGACAATAGCCTTTGTAATTTCTTCTTGCAAAGTATAAAAATTTATGAAAGTGCACAACTGAAGCTAGCTTAGCCCTAGGCGTAACCCCACGCTAGCTCCGCCACTTGACCAGATGATTAAGAGTTAGAGTAGGATACCTGGATACGGGTTGATAATACGACCCGAAATCTTCCAGGAACGAACCTGTTATATAAAGCGGAGCCCATATGACCAAAAGACTAAGTTAGAATCTCTCGAAAACTACGTCAGCGAATCTGCATCCTTATAATTGAGATAATCGTTAATATCAATCACGTAGGAGTAGGCTTTTTACCTCCATCGTGAGAGACTAAACATAGGTAAACTTGTGTCCTTCGTTCCCGTACAACCCCGTTCAAGCAACCACTTAGTTGCGATGGCCTCAAGACTTAGTCCTTTCATAAGGACATCTTCGTGACAAAATCACGACACCAGGCATGGGTGTGCTCGTCACGAAAGAGAGAAAAGGGTCGTGACGTGAGAGGAGGGAGAGGGGGGACCTGGTGGGACGCGGCCAGAGTGTGTGAGCGCTGGAACGGACAAGGGCGTGCGGGTCGGTGTCCCGACGCGGGGGCGGGTGTGAGAACCAGGTGTGCGCGCGGGATCCTTCCTTTTCCGGCTGTCCTGGTCGCGCGCGGGAGTGCTCCTTCCTTTTGGGGGGGAGAGCGCTCGCTCCCGCAAACGGGCTGCGCCAGCTAGTCACGTCCAAAATAAATCCTTCCCCCAAAAAATACTAATTTCCACCCCTGTTGAAATCCTAGTAATTTACACATTTAGCAGGGCGCAATCCGAAAGAACTCGCCTGGCATGCGGCCGTGCGCGTCCGGGCCGCCCTTGCGAAATCCGGGCCGTCCGTTCCAGAGCGGACGTGCACGATATGCCAGCGCGTCGCCTTGGTTGCGTGCGTGCGTGCTTCCTTCCTTCCGGCGCCGTGTCGCGGGTGCGGTCACCGGGCGGTGCACGTAACCCCCATCCAGGAAACGAGCCTATATATCAACGCCACCTGGGAGGGCGAAGGAGCCCAACACCAGCAGCAGCAACGCACCGTCCCCAGACAGACCCCGAGCCCGAGCCCAAAAGCCAGGAAGGAAGGAAGCACAAAGACTCTCCACCCACCTACTCGAAACCAAAATCCCCTCTCCGACTCTCAGAAATCCAGCGCGGCGATTCTGATCTACATACAGATCCCCTTGAGCTCCCTCGCTCGCTCGCTCCGGCCGGTCGTCGAGATTTGGAGGTGAGGGTTTCGCCATGGACGAACGTACGGACTCTGTTTTGGGGGAGGACGGGGCGCTTGGCCGGCCGGCCCTAGGTCCCAAAATTGCTCGATCATCTCGCTCGATTTGGGGCAATTCCGGTGTCGGTTCCCGCCGACTCCGTGGCGATTTCGCTCTGCCCACCCAGATTGAGCGAGCCTCCCCCAGTCGCCCGCCCCCTCCGGAATCGCCGGAGCCTCTCCCGCGATCTGGAGGCTCGCTCCGCGTGCTGCGGAGCGTTTTTCTCTTTGTGTGGGTAATCGGAGCTGTTTAATTGACCCTGTGTTGTCTGATTTTGCAGTGCCTGAGACGTTCATGGGTGTGGAGTGAGATCGAGAGCGGGGACCGTGAATTCCTACGAGGGCCGCCATTCGGCTTGCGCGTCTGCATGAACTGTTTCGTCAATCTGGGACTCAACTCCAACTCCAACCACTACGTCGCCTGCCTCCTCATCTTCCTGCTGCATTTCTCCCCGCAGCCGCTGCTGATAAATCACCCCAATTCCAATTCCAATTCAAGTAGAAGTAATCGTCAAGAAGGAGAATCCAATCCCAGTACTAGTAATCGTTAAGGGGGGAAAACAGAGCTCAACAAATGGCGAACAACAACAGTAAGTTTCTTCGATCTTCTCTGCAGATATTTTCTTCTTCTTCAGCTAGGCGTTGCTTTCAGAACCGTAGACTCTTTTCCAATGTGATGCTAGTGCAAAAATTGAATTTCACCACCATTTGGGACCAGGCGGTCCAGCTTGATTTTGTCACGCCAAACAATCTAGTTGCTTATGGTTGTTGGGAGGGGGCGTCGTGGGCCAGACGAAAGAGGCATCAACCGTCCAGCTGCAATTGCCGTTTCCCTGGACGGTGCTAGGAGGAAGAAAAAACCAAAATACTAGCTGTTTTTCATTTGTTATGCCAACACCTCACGCAAAGGGCACCCACCACTTCGGAAGCTTCTAGGATTTGACCGATTGGCCCATTTGGCAGGAACAAGTCCATGTGGTTGTGGAGTCCCATGCTTTTTTTAGCGCTGAAAGTTAGCTGTGAAGAGTGTGTTCACACAGGCTTCTTACAGTTAGTAAAGAGTAACATTAGATACCTGTAATCAGATTACCCAAATGGCATCACGTGGAAGTACAGTTATGCTTTATTTTACTCCTGTGTTGTGATTCCATGCATATTGATCGATATTATTGTGATGCACGTAGTTTGGCGTGTATTATTGTTCAGAATATTCGCTAACGGATCTAGCTGTTTGTGGACCAATGCCACAATTGAAAATATTTATTTATTTGCGCCATTTAACGTCGCTCTTGTCGGTTTCATAAAAGAACACTTTGCTCTTGTCAGCTTCATTCAACTCATATGCCTTTTTTTTTAATTTTTGGGTCTTAGTGCAACTATTGTCATCATAAGAGAAGATGCTTTGGTGATTATGGTTCTGGACTGAAGTTTGACTGCCTTTTTAGTGTCCGAAGCATATCCTGCAGAGGGTTGTCTTGTCTAAAGCTAGGTCTACCAACTAATACCATCATAAACAACAGTCTAAAAATAAAAGCATTGTTCCACATTTATTGGAGTAGCCTCAAGTGTCCAATGTCTCACTTGTAAGGACAGGCATCATGTCAAATCACTGCTAGAAAAAGTTACTAATGATCTTAGGTATAGTTTAATCTGCAGCTGCCTGTCCAATAAAAGTGTTAAATCGTTTTAAGTTTGATCTGTCATACTCGTACACATTAGAGTGTTCACTCTGGAGCTACATACCAAGAACATTGTTAGGAGTTCCAGTCCACACTGCGTCAAGTTGTTGGGAAAATCAGCGAAAATCTTTAATTGTCCTGTCTTACTTCGCCATCATTGTTCTGAGACAGGGAACATGCCTCACTACTAACCCTCCATGGTGGAGGGGGTAGAGGAGGGTTGATGTGAGAAGAACAGACGATATCGGCACTTTCACTACTTGGTAGGCTTCTTTATGTTATTTTTGTATGAACTGGTCTTTTTTTCATTTGGAGGTACCCCGTGCCACATAAAAGCAAATTGTCAGCCATAAGTGCCGGCGCCTCTGCCTGAAAACCATAAATCTCCACATACATCAACTCAGTAACCCCACAGCAGACAAGCATTCTCCAATCACATAATTCATCAGAAGATTAAAGCTGTTGGTTATCCCATCCAACCACCATAAGATATGTGAAAGTTTAGTTAACCCCCATATATGGATAAGCGCAGAAAACATTGCATGCTGCCTGCCTTTCCTCTGGTAGATGTCACCAAAATTTTGTGTTTATTACTTAGTATTTCAATAGCTAATATTACTAATTTAATGAGAAATCACTTTGTACATGGACAGATGATCACTAAAATAAATACATACCATTGAACACTTTTATTTCAAATTTTCTAGTTCAGTATTCCACTCTAATTTTAAGGCAATACCTTCTTTTTTTCTTTTTCAGGCTCATACGGTGAAAATGTCAGTAGAAAATCCCACACGCCTTCTGCTATCGTTATTGGTGGTGGGTTTGCAGGCATTGCTGCTGCAAATGCGCTCAGGAATGCGTCCTTCGAGGTATTGCATAATGTGGTTTTTGATCTTGTTCTGATGGTTTAGCTGCAATTCATACGATGCTCTTTGATCCATACAATTGTTATCTCATCAACTATGCTATTGTGATCTTTCCAGGTCGTTCTTCTGGAATCCCGTGACCGGATAGGTGGCCGAGTTCACACTGACTACTCTTTTGGGTTTCCTGTTGATCTTGGGGCATCTTGGTGAGTTCCATTATTTCCCTGGCTCCCTGCACTACATAAATAGTATTGTTTATACTGTTTATGACCAGAAGTTCATCTAGAAGCACAATTTTGAATCTTATTTCCAATTTTTGTGTGCACCAGGCTTCATGGTGTTTGTGAAGAAAATCCCCTGGCACCGATCATTGGAAGACTCGGGCTTCCACTGTACCGCACCAGTGGAGATGACTCTGTCCTTTTCGACCATGATCTCGAGAGGTACAACTTAATCTAGGTCCTGTATGTTCAGAGATATGATGAAACCAAATAAGGCTGCAACTAACATGTTATCTTTCAGTTATGCACTTTATGACACTAATGGCTCTCAAGTCCCACAAGAGTTTGTAGAAAAGATAGGGAAAGTGTTTGAGGCTATACTGGAAGAGGTAATTGCTTCTCTCAGTTCTTGGTGCTTATTTATTTATGCTGACATTTCTTGGGTTTTGATATCCTGTAACATTGATATGTGCACAGACTGGCAAATTAAGGGAAGAAATGAAGGAAGATATTTCTATAGCTAAGGCCATTGCAATTGTTTTGGAGAGAAATCCACACTTGAGGTTCGTACCATCAATCCCTGTGTTCTTATAGGGTATCCTAAAGATATTGGTTATCTTATCTGACACCATTATCCTCATATCAGGCAAGAAGGGATTGCACATGATGTTCTCCAGTGGTATTTGTGCCGCATGGAGGGTTGGTTTGCTACTGATGCGGATGCCATCTCGCTCCAGTGTTGGGACCAGGTAGTATTTGCACCCCTCTAGTACTAATAAAATAGCCATAGATCTCTGCATTATTCATGACCATATTCTGTGTAATCGAGTGCAGGAAGTTCTTCTTCCTGGTGGCCATGGTCTCATGGTTCGTGGATATCGTCCAGTTATAAATACTTTGGCAAAAGGTCTAGATATACGCCTTGGTCACAGGTATGCATATCTCTGTTTTTCCTCTAAATGTTATGAACATGGTCCCACCTTCCATTTGTTAGTACTGATCCAAGCTCTTCTCCTCAGGGTTGTTGAAATTGTTCGGCACTGGAATAGAGTAGAGGTTACTGTAAGCAATGGTAAAACATTTGTTGCGGATGCTGCAGTCATCACCGTTCCCTTGGGTGTTCTTAAATCAAACACCATTAAGTTTGAGCCGAGGCTCCCGGAATGGAAGGAGGAAGCGATAAGAGAACTGTCAGTTGGAGTCGAGAACAAAATAGTTCTCCACTTCAGTGAGGTTTTCTGGCCTAACGTGGAGTTCCTCGGAGTAGTTTCATCCACCACATATGGCTGCAGCTATTTCCTCAACCTTCACAAGGCAACAGGGCATGCTGTTCTTGTTTACATGCCTGCAGGCCGGCTTGCTTGTGACATTGAAAAGATGTCGGATGAGGCTGCTGCTCAATTTGCCTTTTCCCAGTTGAAGAAGATCCTCCCTAATGCAGCTGAGCCGGTTAGCATTTCGACACAGATCTCAGTATAATTAGCATGAATACTGCTTCCAGTTCTAACTATCATGTTGCCTAAATCCCATTGCAGCTTAACTACCTGGTGTCACACTGGGGCTCAGACGAGAACACGCTTGGTTCCTACACCTTTGACGGGGTAGGCAAGCCGCGCGACCTGTACGAGAAGCTCCGCATCCCCGTCGACAACCTATTCTTTGCCGGGGAGGCCACAAGCGTCCAGTACACGGGCACGGTGCACGGCGCCTTCTCCACGGGGGAGATGGCGGCCGAGGAGTGCCGGATGAGGGTCCTGGAGAAGTTCAGGGAGCTGGACATGCTGGAGATGTGCCACCCGATGGCCGAGCAAACGGCCACCGTCTCCGTCCCGCTGCTCATCTCCCGGCTGTAAACAGTCGCGCCCCTAAACTATCTATCTATTGTCACGTCGGGTTTGCCGGCCATTCATTCCAGTGATTGCTCGGGGAAGGCAGCGTGGGAGCAATCTATCCTTGCTCTTCCTCGTGGCATGAGGCGTGTGGCCGTGTGACCCTATGGTTTGCAGAATAAACTTACTGTTGGGTTAATAAAAAATTGTGGGCGTCTGGTATGTATACTGTCAGCGTGATGTGGGGGTTTGTGTTTGGTAAGGCGCTATGAGCTACGGCCTACGTGACCATCTTTGTAGGGCAGAGTTGGTGGTGTAGTATGTGTGATGGAACACTGTAATTTTACTACATTGACATTCTTAATATTGGCGATGATGGTAGATTATCCGTGAAGTTTGATTTAGTGTTTTATAACTCAAAATTGAATCTGATTGCACCAAAGCCATCGGTGATTCAAGAGGGCGTAGAGAGCACCGTGAGGGCATCTCGTCGCTGCATTCAAACCAAAACGGACATGGCAAATGCCGACGTACATGTCCGGACTTGTCAGTGGACAATTGTATGTCGGGACATGTCAGCGGACAATTTTTGAGAAGCGGGCCATCCAATCTGATGCGCCAAATAGAAGCGGACATGACATTTTCATAATAAATTAGGATTTTTTTTACATAGGAGTTAACCAACCCTAGTCTAATCTTCACTGTCCTTGTCTCACGTCCTACTCTTCACCGGAAGTGGGTACGTATGTGTCCCACATCCCGCTCTTCATCGGAGTCTACCTTAGCGGCCAACGTCGCTGATAGAGGTAAGGTCGCCGATCAACCTAGACGGTCTGGCCTATTGGCATTGCACATGGACTCATAAGGCGCCCACTGCTCATCCACCATGCCCATATTCTCCGTGAGTATGACCGTGATGGCCTACTTGTTTGCTTGCTTGTCGATGATCTGACCTCAGTGAGCCGGTGTTTCTCGTAAAGCTAGTTGTGCCTTCGCCATGATGACGTTGTAGTGCGCCTCTGCATACTGAAGCGTGAACCCGGTAGCCAGTGCCTCCAGTGCCTCATCCATAATCACGTCCTTCTCGTTCGATCTCTCCTCCTCCGAAGAGGTCGGAGGCTCTCCCGATGTAATGCGGGCAGCGCATCGGGCACGCCATGCGTTCACCTCGTCCGCGATTTCGTAGCCGCGTCGCGGCGAGAGGGCCTTCCACCACCCACATTGGGTCCCAACATTTCTCACGGATATACCTGGCCAAAACTCGGGCCGGGCCGGGCCTAGTCAAGCCCGAGTCAAAAAACCCAGGCTCGAGCCCGGCCCGGCCATCGGGCCTGGTTTCTAGGCCCGAGCCCGGCCCGAACACATAAAAGCCCGACGAGCCTCGGGCCTCAGGCCATGCCTCTTCAGGAAATTGCAAAAACGACGGGCCCGGGCCCGCCCTTCGGGCTTAAAATCTAGGCCCGAGCCCGGCCCGGGAGCAGCATCGGGCCAGGCTGGGTCGGGTCGGGCCGGCCGGGCCGGGCTTCCCATGGCCAGGACTACTCACAGAGGTCGAAGAAGGAAGAAGGAAGAGCCGGTGGCTCGGACAGAGGGAGACGGGGCTCGGAGGTGGTGCAGTTTGTGCCGTGGCCGACGGTATTCAAATAGTAGCGGCCCTGGGCAGGCGAAGTGACGGCTTGAATGCGTTCGACGGGGTTGGTTTCTTGTTCGCCGAGCCGACGTGAATGTCGGCCAGGTAGACGGACGACTACTTAAATGCGGTAGGAAGCCGTCCCGTCACCTCACCCAGTCACGTCCGTTCTGAACTGGCTTAATGCTAGAGGTGGGCCAGAGCAGCTTTCTCAGCCACCACACTCGTGTGAATGCCACGCTGTATGCAAGGGCGGACCTACGTATAGCTAGCCAGTGTCACTGGACACCGGGTCCAGTTTGCACGTGCTTAATGTAATTCATTGATTTAGTGTGTATGTCATTGAATTGCTTGACATTTAGGCATGTGTTCTTCTATGTGGACACCGGGCTATTTTCAGTCTGGGTACGCCCCTGCCTATATGGCCGGCATGCGGCAGTGACTGGTCATGTTCGCTCTGAGCAGTCATGAATGCGAGATGAGGGAGGGGGGGTGTCCTGGATGTTAGAGGCCTACATGGCCAATGTCCTGCAAACCCCCTACCGGTTTGGTCTGGACATATATTTGATGCGAGCCATTGGAGGATAAAAAGTGTCCGGACCACATGGTTCAGACATTTAGGCCAACTCCATCGCGCGACCCCATCCCGTCTGGCCCCATCCGTTTGGGGTAAAAGAGACAAACCAGACGGCCCAGCGCGCGACGGCCTGGCCCATCTGGTCCGTTTTGTGTCCGGGCTGACCCATTTCGAGCGCAAACATGCGTCGGGTTTGGGTCGCGGCGGACAGCGAACGGACGCGTCGAACGTCCGCGTAGGGGCCGCGTGGCAGGCGGCCACCTACCTCCCACCCGCCAACATCAATGCGCATGAGCGGGTGGCCCCACCTGTCATCCGCCCAGCGAACATCCTTCTTAAATGGAAGCCGTGGACCGGTCGCCGTCCACACTTCCCACTCTGGCCCCTCTCTGCCCTCTCGAAACCCGACACTCCCCAAACCCTAGCCGCTCCCCGTCCTCGAACTCGCCGGCCGGCCACAACCATGGGGCTATGGAACTACGTCCGCAAGGGGAAGCACGACCGCGAGGCCGGCTCCTCCTTGGGACCCCGCCATGGCTCCATGAAGGAGGAGCCCGCATCACCGCCGCGCACCTCCTGTCGAGCCCCCGCGCCTGCCCCCTTCACCATCGCCCCTAGGGCCGCCGACAAGCGCGACCGGCAGTACCTCAACGCCGACGTATGCTGGCACTACTGGGAGACAAGGACGCCAGTCCCGTGGAGCGACGTCCACCTCCCCAACAATTGGCACCTCTCCGCCGACCAGGTCCCGATCTCACCGGTGCCGATGAGCGGCCGTGCGCGGCGCGATGAGATCAAGCGCCGCCGCCTCCTCCTCCCCGACGACCTCTACTATGACGAGAGGTATGCCCCCGACTCCATGCTCTGGGACACGTGGCTCCAGGACGAGCACGACGTGCATCGCGCGTCCTACTTCGCCGACACGGTGTCGGGGCCGCGACGGCCACGTCGGGAGGTGCACGGGCGTACGCGGGTGCGCGGCCACACGCCCACGCCGTCGCCTTCCCCGTCCCCGTCACCACCTCCACCTCCTTGCATGACAGCGGAGGAGGAGGCCCGTCTCATGGTGCGTGTCATGGAGGACTTCATGCGCACGCACGATGAGTGCCAATGGGAGGGCCTCAAGGAGATGATGCCCCTCTCCGCGGCCGGCGACGTCGCCATCCCCGAGCTGGAGATGGTGGCGAAGGAGGACGTGATGGAGGAGCCGCCGGTGGCCGCGTTCCACCCGGGCCTGGTGGGCCAGCACTGGAGCTGGTCGTGCACGGCTCCGGAAATGGCAGACGCCTGGGGGGCGTGAACTGGTGCCCCATGATACGTCTCCAACGTATCTATAATTTTTGATTGTTCCATCCTATTATATTATCAACCTTGGATGTTTTATATGCCTTTATATGCTATTTTATATGATTTTTGGGACTAACCTATTAACCCAGAGCCCAGTGCCAGTTTCTGTTTTTTTCCCTTGTTTTAGAGTATCACAGAAAAGGAAAATCAAACGGAGTCCAATTGACCTGAAACTTCACGAAACTTATTTTTGGAAGGAAAGTCCCCCGGGAGACTTGGAGTCCACGTAAGGGAAGCAACAAGGAAGCCACGAGGCAGGGGGCCACGCCCACCCCTGGGCGCACCCTCCACCCTCATAGGCCCCTCGTGGCTCCCCTGACGTACTTCTTCCACCTATATAACTCCATATACCCTAAAACGATCGGGGAGCATAATAGATCGGGAGTCCCGCCGCCAGAAGCCTCCGTAGCCACCGAAAACCAATCTAGACCCGTTCCGGCACCCCGCCGGAGGGGGCAATCCCTCTCCGGTGGCCATCTTCATCATCTCGGTGCTCTCCATGACGAGGAGGGAGTAGTTCTTGTTGGGGAACGTAGTAATTTCAAAAAAAATTCTACGCACACGCAAGATCATGGTGATGCATAACAACAAGAGGGGAGAGTGTTGTCCACGTACCCTCGTAGACCGAAAGCGGAAGCGTTAGCACAACGCAGTTGATGTAGTCGTACGTCTTCACGATCCGACCGATCAAGTACCGAACGCACGGCACCTCCGAGTTCAGCACACGTTCAACCCGATGACGTTCCTCGAACTCCGATCCAGCCAAGTGTTGAGGGAGAGTTTCGTCAGCACGACGGCGTGGTGACGATGATGATGTTCTACCGACGCAGGGCTTTGCTACCTCTTGAGCACTACGTTGGTTTTCCCCGAAGAGGAAGGGATGATGCAGCAAAGTAACGTAAGTATTTCCCTCAGTTTTTGAGAACCAAGGTATCAATCCAGTAGGAGGCTATGCGCGAGTCCCTCGCACCTACACAAAACAAATAAATCCTCGCAACCAACGCAAATAGGGGTTGTCAATCCCTATAAGGCCACTCACGAGAGTGAGATCTGATAGATATGATAAGATAATATTTTTGGTATTTTTATGATAAAGATGCAAAGTAAAATAAAGGCAAAGGAAATAGCAAAGGAAATAACTAAGTAATAGGAGATCAATATGATAAAGATAGACCCGGGGGCCATAGGTTTCACTAGTGGCTTCTCTCGAGAGCATAAGTATTCTACGATGGGTGAACAAACTACTGTTGACCAATTGGCAGAATTGAGCATAGTTATGAGAATATCTAGGTATGATCATGTATATAGGCATCATGTCTGACACAAGTAGACTGGCTCCTGCCTGCATCTACTACTATTACTCCACTCATCGACCGCTATCCAGCATGCATCTAGAGTATTAAGTTAAAACAGAGTAACGCCTTAAGCAAGATGACATGATGTAGAGGGATAGACTCATGCAATATGAAG